AGTATTAGCAGGCTTCTCAGCCAATACCAATTCTAAGACATTTATTACCTGCACAAAGGTGAGTGCTGCTTTCTGTAGAAGACACTCAGCATAACAGATTTCAGCATGCATCTCCTCTATTAAAAAATAAATAAAAATACGTTAAGAAAAATCCCAAGTCCACAGTAATTGCCATAGATATTCAGAAAAGATAAATAAATGATCCTAAAAGAGACATAAAAGGAATACATTAACCCATTATTAGTGCTCATTCAGCAACATTCCTCTGGAATGTATGCAAAGTTCAGGGAAGTCATCATTGGCCCCATTCAAACACAACAGGAGTCCACATTTGATGTCCAAAACCCAAACTTGGCTCATACGGAGAACCAATATTTAAGTCTTTAAAAAAAAAAAAAACCACTTTTTTAACTTAACAGTAACATTAAAGCTCAACACAGTTATAAAGTTTGAAAAAAAAACTATATGAAATTTATAAACTCTAACTTCTAAAATATGAAGGTATGATAATCATGACAATGACTAGAAACATTATTAACCTGAAGTGAATGCATCAATTCTCCAGAGCTCTCTGAAAACCCACTCAGGTCAGGGTTCTGCACACAAATCAAACTTGATCTAAAGAGAGTCAGGACTATTCCAGTTTTAGGGTAACTTTATCATTAGATATCCAGCACAAAAACAAGATGCCTTGCAAAAGGGGGTTGTGGAGGCTATGTATGTCCCAGGGATATGTGGAATGCCCCTAAAACACATTCCTTATCTTCTTAAATAATCTATTATACTTGCAGAGATTAGGGAAACAAATCTTGCATGTTTGCTTAAACACAATCAGCAGATTCCTGCCTTCTCTGTGGATTGCAAATCAGTATGTTATTTAAGTACTTGAGTTTGGAGAAAAGGCTTTGCCATGTTCTAGCTATAGAACCTTGTGAAAGCTAGCCTTTCTTTCTCTATTGGTTGCCTCATTTATAAAATCCACTAATAATGTCTCTATTTCACAGGTGAAGGATTAAATGAGGCACTGCACGTAGAGTTCACTATACACAGTAAGCACTTGATAAATGTTAGCTACTTGCACTAAGATTACTGTCTTTGACCAATGTACATTTTGGTAAAAACTTAGAAAGCAGAAAGCATTTTTATGACAAGTAAGTGACGGAAAAATAGGGTATATGTCTGTATAATTGTAAATGCTATTGATCAAACTAGATAAGAATATGTGTCACCTTTTAATTTTACACACACACACACACACACACACACACATACACACAACCCATTGGCTCTTTCATATGAGTTCAACTTCTTACTGTGCTCATATTCCAAATGTGCAATTTATGAAGAAGTAAATAAGCAACTAAGATCCCCAACAGCACACAGACAGGTCCAAACCCACAACAGGCAGTATTTGGGGACCTATACCTGCCTGTGTGTATACACCCAGCAGGATCAATAATCAGAGCTGCAGTTCTTTAGAACACCTTCCCTAAAACTATGCCTCTTGATTTTTTCAGTGTTTCAGTGGGATAAAAACTGATAACTTTTATTTTTAGAGTCACAAGAATATCCTCTTCCTAGGTAAGTCTATAACACCGTGAGAACTTTCAGGGGCTGTTAATGCTGTGCTAAGGATCAGATTGCTGGTGTGGGGCATGTGCAGAGGGGATCAGCAGGACAAAAGGCATGTAGCAAGAAAAGCCCAGGCCACCTTTGGCTGTA